AGTCTTCCTGCATGCCTACATGGAAAAAATGGGGGTAGGCCCCAAGTTCAGAGAATAGATTAGAGTCCTCTATTCAGACGCAACAACCAGAGTTAAGGTCAATAGGATTCTTTTAAAGACCTACCAGGTCTCGAGATCAGTTAGACAAGGCGACTCATTGGCCCCGCCCATCTTCCTTTTCATTATGGAAGCCTCCTTCCTTCTGAAAGACCCTTCCATTGACCGCCTTACTGAACGCAACCTCAATCCATTAGACGACTTCGCCCCACCTGTGTAACCGCGCGTTTATTGAACGTGGGTTTCACGTTCAAGATTTGAATGAGTTGATGCGCGTTCAATGAACGCGGGCAAACACAGTGAATGTACTTGCGGCTACCTCCAAATGCCGCGAGGGAGAGTGGGGTGGAGGGAAGGAGGGAAGGTTGGCAAAGAGGGGTTGAGGTGGCCAGGCAACGGTCACGGGCACCCCCCTATTCCTTAACAAAAAAAAAAAAAAAAAAAAAAGACTTACCTGCTCGCGACTGTGTGTGTGTGTGTGTGCACGCATGCAGCGCACATACACACTCACGAATTTGCGCTTGCGTGGGCGCACACACACACACACACACACACACACACACACACACATACACACTCACAAATTACAAATAAATAAAAAAACACATATACATATATAGATATATATGTATATAAAATATAAATATTTATCAAATACATACATAAAAAATAAAAGGATGTTACACCCCCCAAAAAAATACACAAGCTTAGAAAAAAGCCCAGACGGCCAGCCCTCACCCCCAAACCCCTACCCCCCTACCTAAAGAACCCCCTTAAAAAAAAAAAAAAACTGAAAAAATAGCTCACAACCTAGAACACAAACTCTACACGTCACACCAATGTGACAAGTAAAACCCCATCGCAACGCGAAGCCCATAGAAAAAGACAAGAAAAAATAACTCCAAGAAAACGTGAAATGAACAAAAAAAGACACTGACTAAAACCAAAAGCACCACATAAGTACAAAACGCGCCGGCTGCCCCAAAAGTAAATTTGAAACGACTCTGAAACATTGGAGCCGTAACTTTGAGAACCCCCGGAAAAAAAACAAACCCTCCCTCCCCCTTAAGATACACATTCCAAAAAAATACCCTCCCTCGCCAAAATCAAATAACCCTCTCGCTTCCAAAAAAAGAAGAACCCCATACGCAAAAAACAAGACACCAAAAAAAACAAATACACATATAAGACAAAAAACGAAAAAACACGATTGAAAAAAAGGAAACAGATAGTTCAAAAAAAGATGAAAGCGCCTGCAAAAAAACGCTTACAAATCCCGCCCACACAACTAAGAATCGACAAAGCACAAACACACAAAGCACGGCCAACCTACCAAAATAAACACCTTTAATAAAAAAAAAAAAAAAAAAAAAAAAATCCCCAAACCAAAAAAAAAACTATACGAATAATACGATAGGACTGTCTCTCTCTTTTCTCCCCCCCCCAAACCGCCCCCCTATAGGGTTAAACATACAAACATAATTTTTAACATACAACTATACAACCGACCCTACAAACTCCGAGTCGCAAGTATGCGGAAACAAGTAGACCCTGAAACTAGACCAAAAAAATTCTGCCAGATGTACGGACACCCACGTTGCTATCTAACGCATAACTTAATCTCCCTCACACTCACGATGGTGGCATGGCCGTAAGAACAACAAATAAAACTTCACTAGCACATCACCCCACACAACTTGAGAACAGCGAAAGGCGATCACTATCCTAAGGACCTCGCTACAACTGCGGCATAAGCAACGACGCTCTTGCCTCTTTCCCCGAGTGTCCGGCCACGAGCACACAGTGTGACTTGTGGAACAGTGACAACTCCAGGCTCGACTCTAATTCCACCGCTGCGACGCACTCCTGAACCTCCAAGCGATGGCGTCATCTAGAAATGAGCAGATCACTGATGCCGAGATCAATGCGCACGTGGTAAGTCGAAACTAACCCCCTATACATACCTACGAAATATTATACCGGCCATTAATATAAACCATACTATATCGGTGAAACTCCGACGAAACAGTTTGTCACAGCCCCTCGTTTGTTGTCCTCTTCTCTCTCTCTGCCTACAGTTTACTGGGCAGTTCTGTCTGTGACGATATATATATATATATATATATATACCGGGCAGTTCTATTTGTGACGATATATATATATGACGATATATATATATATATATAATGTTTGTCTCCCCACCTCTGCTACAATAGTCCTATGGTGTGTGCAAGCCTCCCCTAGCGATTGGACTAGTTGAGAAGCATCCACCTGCCTCCATAAGCTGAAAAAATTCTTCTTCCTCCCGTCTACCTCCTGCTCATGCTCTCGTCCTTACTCTCCTAAACCCTCGGATGAGCTGTCCATGGCACGGACGGCGAAAAGTGCTTCAGGGATGCGCCACCCTCCTTCTCAGTCCAAGGAAATTGGTCCTGACGAAGAAGGTTTTGTTTCTCTTTCTTTTTCGGTATCTTCTCCTCTTCTTGCTCTCTCCTCCTCCCGCTCTCTCTTTCCCGTCTTCCTTCCCTTTTCCCCCCATCCCTATACCCATCACCCCATCACCCCTCTTCCATATCATGTGGCTAAAGGTGAGTAAAAGTCTCAACACGCGATGTAATGCAATTGTGCTGGCAGTTATTGTTGTGCTGTAGTGTATATGGGTGACCCAATCGACACTAGGATGAATGCAGAAATTGCTAGTACTTATGGCAATGATGGTGGGTGGCGTTTCCTGGCATATCCAGGTTGTGCAATTGCATTGCAATTCAACTTTGACATACACACAAGCTATTGAGCCTTGATACAATGGCTAGGGTAGACTCCCTGCCAAACAGCCTAGACCTCCACACAAACTATATTATTAAACTAGCAGTTTTTTTGCTTCACCCCATCGTCGTGGCATAACCTACCACTCACACGCAAGGCAAAATAATATTACTCAAGACCCAATATGCTTACACTGCGTAACAGACCATTGCACGTCACCGATCGGCCATTCCACTCCTCTTCTTTCCCCCCTCCGACCTTTACCCCAAATACACACACGCACCCTCCTTTGTGCTATTTTACTTGCCATTTTCCCCAATACAAATATATACTCATGTAAACTACTATTGAACAATATATGATCCCCCACCTCGCCCCTGTATACGCAGTAGAAGACTAAGTACGTTAAAGGTACTTAAAACTAGATAATATATGCCCGCCCACCTCCCCCCCACATCCTCCACCCATCACTCACATAGCACATATAAACCCTACGCACCTGCTAACAACAAGGATTAACATAAGCATCTGCTTCACAAAAAACCTCCCGCAATAAAAAGACACTAACAATAGTAGGCGAAGGTGCACTGTTAAGCACAAAGCGATACACTTACCTTCCTTTAGAACAATGCTCAACGTTCACCTAAACATAGAAATATAACAATTATTTAGGTAATTAAATAAACTCACACAATACCTCCAACATTTACATGCGTATACTGCCGTTACATATATATATATATATATATTTTTTTAACGATTGATAGCAGTCTGTGCTTTGCAAAAAAATATAGAGATATAGTTGTGTCTCACTTGCTAAGTAAAGTTCCGATCGGGCATCTAAGATTGGTTCCTGATGATCGAACATGAAAAAATGTACATCCGCTCTTGATATCGAATATACGTATGTTAGCATCACAAAAAATGTCATATCCCCAACATAGCATTTGTGTTTTTAATCCCCTATGGTTAAAACGGATGCTCCTGGCATCCCAAAACAATTCTAAGAAAAAACAAACGTCCTGATTCCGACAAAAAATTCACCATGACAAACCACCTATGCACCCAAAGTTGCAGAATACACACTCAGTCTGACGAATCGTTCCGAGGTCCTGTCCCACGTAACTGCGATCAAAAGGTTATGAAATATACAAAAACATTGTAGATTGATACACGTCTATGCAACTTTTGCTAGTTTTCAATTTTTTGTCGCCATACTTATCCCTTTACTCCTGACCTATGCCCTACACGATTAGAATTCACGATAAAAAAAAATTGCAATCCATCACAAAACAAAAGAATAAGCAGACACTCGTGTCTGGATAATATACATCTCTAGCTTAGTGCCTTAGCACACCACGAACTACGACTACATAGCCTTTTCCGAAAAAGACAACTAAAATGAATTGCATGAGCACAGTGGGAAGCTCCCCAAAAATGAGAGCCGACACTATAGCTAAAATCCTAGCACAAATGACTATGACAAACGAAACCAAAGGTAGCTATAACACAACTACATTTACAAAGCGGCCAGAACCCATCCAAAGCGCCAAGACACTTAGATCCGCCCCTTTTCTTCATGAACAGATACACAGGATCGGAAAGAGCTGACCACCAAGAAACGCGGTTGGTCTGCACAATTTCATGAAATTTTAGTAGAGACCACCAAAAACCGCCCCTTGTCTCAGTATCAGTATCATTTATAAAGCGGTCAGAACCCATCCAAAGTGCGAAGACCTGTGATAGGAAAGAGCTGACCACCAAGAAACAAGAAGACCCCCCAAAAAACAGCCCTCCCCGAACCCCAACTTCCCCAAGAAAACCATCTCACGCCACCTCCATTAGATAACATGATACTGAGACAATTTAACACACCGCACTACAGGAAAACAGAAAAACAATGCAGAAACAACCCACACTGCACCATGTGAAATATGACTTTTTTTTATAAAAAAAAACACACAAGCACACATATTAACAACATAGAATGTCCACAAACTCGCTAAGACACAATTACACTCGACCAAAAAAAAAATAAAAAAAATAGCGCACACACACAACCGGTCTGATCATCCGACTACTAAAACCCACATACTCCTATAACACAGAATCCCATGCATGCTAGTGATTACGAGACAAACACTAACCCCCTGATTGTCCATGATAATTGTGTGCAGGATCAAGAGATCATCGACCATGGCTGGCATGCGGACCTAGCACCAATGATGACCTCGTTCGCTAAACTCCAACCACCAATTGTGCACTCCCAACTGATTATGATGGCCCTCCCGAAAGAGATTCTGCATAGATTCCACGCCACTTCTCAATCACAAAACCTGATAGAGACACTCACATTTAGTGACTGGGCGATTATCAGTGCTAAATACGAAACTGAGCCCGAGAGAATGGATAGATTGATTGACGCGTACGCACTAAACGCACCTGTGATTGCGGCATTCAACCGGATCCACAACAGAGATTTGAAAAGGGTCATAATCAAAGGAGAAAAGGCTATTTTAGATAAATTCGGGTACAGCTCAGAACACCTCCAAGATCTTGGAGAAATAGACGTGTCCACAGAGGTCAATGTCCAGAGACAGGCACGAAGACAACGGATCGGACTGTCCCAGGTAGAAATAGAGTACCTGGAAAAGCAACACGAACGAAGACTAAGCTCTCTTACAGCAAATGCGTCCACATGCATAGATGTCTTAGGTAGAATCCACAATTTCGCACAGGACAGCCACTTCCTGCCGATTGCATCAGATACCTGGGTAGAAAAGAATAGCAAGCACGTTGCACACAAGCTATGGTGCCTAGATTCTTTCAACTACACCGTGCCTATCTCGATTGAGGGATACAAAGCAGTTGCAAACCTTTCAGATGCAGACATAGAGGCATGCAGACTGGCGGCACACAGCTTCACTCTCCACTATCCGACAAACAGACCACCCTTTGACGATGACTTTCCTATCCTTGCCATCCTGGACAAAACCAAATGTGCAGTCTCAAAGTCAATCCTCACACAAAAAGGATTTGCAAGAATTCCACAGACGCTGGAGGAAGTCAAGAATATGTGGAATATAGGGCGACCATATCTCAAATGCACTTGTGAGAAGAACTGCGGCAAGACGATCACCTGGTTTGACCAAATGATGTGGTACTACATTGCCAACCTGGACTTCTTCAACCCGGTTGCACCAACAGATGTCACCCGTATGCTGGATCTGCAATAGAAGCTGGAGACAGAATGAAAGGGACCAATATTGGCATAAGCCACCTTCCTGCACATGCGGAAGATCGTGATGGAAAAATATTGGCATAAGCCACCTTCCTGCACATGCGGAAGATCGTGATGGACCTCCTGGACCGCCTCATTGACGACAACAAAACGACGACCACCGAACTACTGGATCACCCTTCACTTAAGGACATTCCGTTCGCAACGAAGTTTGCAAGCATCATGCTCCCAGACACACCAACCAAGACTCCTACAAACACGACAAGCAGAAGAAGACGCGCGCTATCAACAGAGCCAGATATCGCACAGAGGAGCAGAGCCAGGCAGACGCCACTCCCCTTCACGCCGGTAACCAGCAACCCCATGTTGACCCCGCTCGCATCCGCCACAACACATTGCTCAGCCACAAGGCCACCACCGCCCGCACCAATGCAGCAAATGAGCTCACAGCAAGCTGGCATACTACCCATTCCCGACACCGCACCACACCCTGCCAGAGCCGCCACACCCTTGCTATTGCACCACTGCAACGGCACACCGCAACCACGCAGCCCCCAACTACGACACCAAATCCAATACACAGTGCACCAACCAACATAGTTGCGCCAGCGCAGCAAGACACAAACATCCGCCCGCACAAAAGAGTCAGGAAAAACACAAACGCCCACAGACAACAACGCAACACAGCACGCAGACGCAATGACAGGAGAGCAAGGAACAGGAACCATAACGCACCCAGCAACCACGCAGAAGCTCAACAATTTGAAACGAGCATCCTCAATGACACACGCAACGCACCTAACACCACACCATCATAACCCTAGCTCACCAACTGGTCACCAAACCGCACAGCTGCGACACTTGCCAGCCCCGCCATACGTTTCGCAAGCAGCCTCAGATGGCTCCCGTCACGAAGCCAGATTGCAGGCTAGCTCACACAGAACGCGAACACGCAACACGAGAGAATACAGGTCATACACTTACCTGACCAAGTGAGCCAGAATGGAGCCAGAAGACAGACAGCAATCGACATCAGCTCGCCATCTCCAGATACGCTGGTCAAAGCAGTCAGCTCCTTTGGCCATATCTTCAAAAACTTCGACATCGAAGAATCGCTTGCAGGATCTGTGACCAAGGCAGCCAGTGAGGAGATCGCAACACATGACGAGGGATCGTCTAGGCACAGATCCATCAGAAGGAACTTGGGCGGTGATTATGACCACACAAGACTGGCACCAGCAACCAGCTAAGTGTTATGAGAAGTAGAGCCAAGTAGCGGTGCACATCCACCTAGTGCTTCCCTTAGCAGTTTTTTTTCTAGAATAGGGTTGGTGATAAAAAGTACCAAGAAATGCGACTACAAAAGACGATAGCAGCCATGTTCGCTGACAAGGTGCTATGAATAAGGCAATGTGTCCCTGATGTTTTTCGTTCGACTTCTTTTCGACTTCTTGTGCTATCTCGCCCACTCCCCTAATTTTTTTCCCCTTCCTCCTCTCCTTCCCACCCCCTCTCATGATGACTCCTAATCCCCCCTGTCTCCCTTGGGCTCTCACACTTGCTCGCGAAAGTCGATCTCTCACTCCTACCCACTCCCGTTCCTTTTTCAATCTAATATTTAAAGAAGCAGTCCTTACTATATAACGAGTAAAAATCTCTGACTACATCCACGTCAACCTACCGTTTAATTAAAAGCGCAGCTGTAACCTCAAGACCTCCCCCTTGAGCTCCAAAGATTTGATACAACAGTAATCAAGACTTAGCACACTACCTCTTAAACCCTCAACCCTATTCTCAAAACCCTATACACAAAACATAAACAGAACAATCATATCAACAGCTACCCTCAGGCTAGCACACAGACCTAACTCTCCTGCTTTGAACTCGTCATCTTAACAGGTAAACGGTCTGCAGCTCATGAAAGATGAACGACGAGGATGGAAGAAGCAAGAAGAGCCCAGAAGAATGATTATCCACATGCACTACAAAAACAGACTGATGGAGAGAATTAAAATTAAAAATATGTTCTCCCATATTCTTCATGAACACAACCCAATGGCAGTCGAAAAACTAAGGGAACTTACGTTTGGATGGACGTACGACAACCACATCGCCAAACAGTTATATAAACCAACAGCGGTGTTCAAGGATTTCCATCTTGACCAATGGTACGAAACGCAGGGTCAAACCTGCTTCTGCCAACACAAACAATACAGACAATTCATACACGCATGTGACGATACCCTTGACCAACCCAATGTAGTAACCTTGAATGCTAATATAATGAAAAACGCGGAGCTAAAAAAACAAGTAAAGGAAGGACTCAACCACATACCGCTCAAACCCGACAACCAACACGAAGTACAGAAAGAATGTCAAATGACGCTCAACAGGGCCATTGAACTAATCAATCAAGATGGCCTTCTCATCACAAGTCAACAACAAACGCAGGCACAAAAAAAACTGAAAGACATAGTAAAACAAAGTTGCGTCAATTTCCACAGACTAGTTTCTTTTGACTACAATCACCACAGCATAAAAAAATGAAATCGAGTTCCTAACACAACACTTCTACATATCGGGAACAGACAAAGCCCCCAACACACCCACCTTTATTTGCATAAATTACATGAGATATCTAGCCCTCCGAAGACTCTCCGGTACAGACTTCAGCCCCTGCGAATGCACGATACCCGAACTGACAACGATGCTCAGATTCCACATGGAAACACAATTCCTCTTCATCCCAGTTAAGAGCATAGAACTCCCCTACCTAATAGCAACATATAAAAAACACAAAAACACTTTCAGATGGTTCACAAACGCGGCAGATGTCATCTTTTCCCTGATGGCAGACACGTGCGCAACCATCCTTCAAAAACTGGCCCAAACCGTCAAAAGACACTGCCGCGAATTCACAACTACAACAGAACAAGAATATGGTGTGAAAGTGCCGTTCTGGTGGATTATAGACTCAGTATCAGACTTTATCTACAACCTACCATCACAAATTCATGACCTATATACCGCAAATATTACCAGATGCTACGAGACGATCCCTACAGATCACTCAGAAGACGGATTACCAACTTCAGTTAATTTCTTCATTAACCTTGCATTCAAAGAAGCAAAAAAACCTACGGAAGGAACGCAGGCATCGCTTGCCACTTTCAAGAAACAGCAGACAAACTCAAGATCCACACCTCTTGGACTTCAAGCACATATGGCAATGCCACAATATTCATGGCCGCAGACACCAAAAACTGAACACTTGGCTCATGACAAACGCATACACCACACTGGGAGGCGCCACATGGAGGCAAACGCTCGGTATCCCAATGGGACTCAGCTGCTCACCTATGTGGTGCAAAATCTATTTTTTTCAATACGAATACAAATTCATGAAAAGATTAAGACTTGCACCGAATCTATATCTCCTCCCCCTATTTCAACACTGCTTCAGATACTTTGATGATTTAAACTGCATCAACAACCCCAGGATCAGAGAATTTATTAACCCCACAATCAAAAGCAGAAGAAGTAAATATTTCCTTTATCCCCTTCATTATGTTACCCTGAATGAACAAATAACAGAAAAAATCCAACTTGAACACACAACTATTGGCACCAAATGCAACTTTCTCAATACCACGATCGCTATAACTGACCACACAACCGGAGAATACGAAACCATGAAATATGACAAGAGGAAAGAACTTAGATTTCTAATTAACAGATTTCTAAAATTTGACTCCAACAGGCCAATCCTACAATCAATCAAAACTCTCATCCCCCAAACAATCAATATAATGACAGTAACAACCAAAGAAGAAAAAACAGCAGAAGAGCTTATACACACAATACGTACAATGATAGACAACGGATTCAACTCACGGAAGTGTAAAGGAATTGTGCAAATGGTACTTAATGACACCACACCGTATCAGCCTTTTCAATGTAACCCAAACATAACACTACAAAAAATTGAAGAACTCTGCAAAAGCATGTGTGTATAAGACCACAAAAAAAAAGCATGGTCCGGTACGGATGGCGACTCGCCGGTGGGGCAAGGTCGTCAGCCGTACCTCTGCCCCCACCGGGTTCCCATCACGTGGGAATGCGGGAGGGACACACACACACACACACACACACACACACACACACACACACACACACACACACACACACACACACACATATACACTCACAAATTACAAATAAATAAGAACACACATATACATATATAGATATATATGTATATAAAATATACACATTTATAAAATACATACACATAAAAT